CAGTCCTTGGCTAAATTATTAGACGCACTATAAAATTCTATGTAAAATCTTAATTATCAGGTGATACTATACAGCTTTATTGTTTTTACGGGACTGATACCGTGTATCAATGGGTTAATTGAGACGACATATAATATAAATAAGATAAATTGGACGATACATTATACAAATATAGAATATTTATTATATCAGGTATTATATTAGTATATTATAATTGAACCGAATTATTCGATGCACTGTAGTGTTTCAATAATTACGTGTTTTGCACGAGTTTAGATGCAATACTTTTATAGTCAAACATACTTGTAATGGGTTTTTATTCAGGAGATTTTTTTACGTATTTATTATTTGTAATTATTTTTAACGTATTCCATTATGATGTTAATCAACTGATACGTGAACATAAACAACTGTAAACCGGTTTCAGACGCGTAAAAACAATAATGCTGTTTAGTATAACCTGATAAATTAAGATTTAACATAAAATGTTACAGTGCGTCTTATAATTTTGCCGGTGTCATCTTTGGAGTGGTGATTGTTCCGATTCAAGTTTATCTTTAATTTGATGAAATAAACTTCTAAAAAGTCAATCTAATGACATAAAGATGGCAACGAATTATAATTAAAAAATAGAGAAACTTTTTTTTAGCTTTTTTTAATTTGTGTCGGCATATGCATTTCATTTTTCTACAGGATGGCGCAATATCGAACGATGCCGACTTATTTATTATTTACTTTCTTTTACCCAAAACATTGAATTTGTATTCAAGTTATATTTAATTAAAAAATCCTCACCTTCTTTCAAAGTTTCAACTTCTGCATCATCAGATGGAGGTCCAGCTCCTTTATTGTTAAATGCCTGGACGCGTACCAAATACTTTGTGTTTCTCTGCAAATTGTTCAGAATTCTCTCTTCTCGAAAATTGTCCTTAACCTCAAGGGTCTTGTAAACGTATTTATCTTTCGAAGTTTTAGTTTTGTAGCCGACGTAATATCCTTTGATTTGGCCGTATTGTGACGCAGGATCTGGTGGCTGTAAATAATATTCATTTATGCAAATGTAACTTTCATAAAGTTTTTTTTCTTCTTACAAAATAGAACATGTTTTATTTTGTTGAAAATAAAAAAAACATTAATTCAGTTTCTGGTAGAAAGTAGTACACATTTTAAAAAAGTAATAATGATAAACGTGGTTTCTACCAATCAGCAAATGTGCGATTACTAAAATATTAAACAGATTAACATATTTACTACAAAATAACAAATTGGTAGATGTTCTACATCAAAAAGAAAAATAAATATTTCATAATTAACATGAGAGCCGCGATAGCTCAGGGGATAGAGCATTCGCCTTCCAATGAGACGAACCGGGTTCGAATCCCAGTCGATACGATTTCCGCATCCGGCTTGCACAGATCACAGTGCTGACGTAAACTATCCTCAGTGGTAGACGGATCATGAGATAGAGTCCCCTTGTCGTCAGGCTAACAAAGGGAGGTTCTCGTGGTCTTCCTCTCCATGTAACGCAAATGCGGGTTAGCTCCATCAAATAGTCCAACACGAAGGCAAATTTCTCGCAATACTTGATACAGGAGTTCCCTCGTCTTCTGGATTGGATTCAGAATTACAAGGCTACGAAGTTGAACATTGGTTGTCGTAAACCCATAAAATTGGGTCGGCTGTTCAACGACGGTTATAAACTAATAATTCTCAATCATTTTCTTATTTTAAAATCCATATTACAAAAATTAAAAAGAAAAAACATTTTCTAAATTTTTATAAAAAATAATTTGTTGCCTCTTGAGAACAGCAACATTATTACAAATTTTATCAAAATTTATTATCACTTAAACTTTTAATTACTTTAAAAAAATTGAAATTTTGAAAACATTTTTAAGTTCATAAATAAAAATGACCTTTCATGTCAAATTTAAACTCTGTAGTTGCATTTCAGAGGGCAGTAGATCACCAGAGGGCACTTTTCACAACAGTTGACAATTCTTGAACTAATAAGTGGGTATTGAATTCCGTACTCCTTATAAATTTTTGCATTGTGGTCACAAATCTATAAGTCTTAATGACTACTTTCGAGCAATTTGAATTATCAATAAAGCTCGTAATAAGATTAACAAAAATGGGGGCCGGGATAGCCTAGTTGGTAGGGAGCTGGGCCCAAGTACGAGAGTTCATGTGTTCGAACCCCACCGGTCGAAGACTGCCCGGTCGAAGATTTATTAAGAATCGATAAAATCTTTACTGACGACATATTTTATTTTCCTTAATCTATTTTCGACAATTACATACAACTGGCATATTACTTAAATTTATATATACCTCTTAAAATCCTATTTTTTTTTAAATAAATCAAATTTCAAATTTATTATTCAAATTTATTTTTTTTTGAATATCTCTCCTTTTCAACATAAATTTCATTGGTGGAAAAATTTATGGAAAACTACAAATTTATTTGTTCTAAACAGTGACATATGTCTCTTAAAATACTAAATTCTTACATTAATTTTATGATTTTGAGGATGTAGTATATAAAACGAGCAATTGTTCAATAGGATGAAATTATCGAAATATGTAGTTCACCGAAATGTAAAAGACAATGCTTTCAAAAACTCCATATTTGATAGAGGTTAAAATATGAATTCTTAATAATCTATGTATCTGAATTCTGAGCATTTTCTTGATGCTAACTGAAACAAATTAGATTAAAACATGATTAATGTTGCATTTTACATCAGGGCTATAAAAGTAGTTCTGCTTGGAAATAATGCTTTGAACACCTACCTCCCATAATACTTTTACAGCTGTTGAGGACAAAGGAAGCGTTTTTACAGCCAGCGGAGGTCCACCGGGTGCTGTGAAAAAAATATCGATCAAGAAAATTTTATAGCAGAAAGCGAAGAATATAACAGATAAAAATTCAAAGAAATGATAATAAAATAACGCTGCAGCACCTATAAATATCACATTATTTCAAAATTCAAAACATGTACCATAATAAAGGCCCAGCACATTTTTAATATCCTTTATGCTAATAAAATTTGCAGAATAAAAATAAATAACTTTCCACAATGAAAAGAATTATATTTGTTTAATTAGTTTGACGAAGCTTATTCTTAAAGCAATGAATCTGAAATGTAGCATAATAAATTAGAATCGATTTAAACAGATAATAAAAAAATGAATTGAAACATATCTTAGGTAAATTCGAAATAAACAAAAAATATAAGCGATTTAAAATGCGTTTTCATTCGCTCAATTTTATTTGTTTTACAGGTGAGAGTATGAAGATATTGAAAAATAAAGAATTATATACGTTTTAGTACGCGTGACAGCACGTTATACTCCATGCAAAGTAACAAGCATATTTTAGCAAAACAGAGCTCAGAGCAGATATCATTTAAAAAAAAGTATCTCGAACTGCATTTCCAATATGATGCTTTTTTCTGATTTATTTATTTTTTTAAAAATAATAGTTCGCTTTTCAGTGAAGAAGTTGTGTTCAGCTTTTAAAAGAAATTTATCAAACTCTTGTTTAATTTTCTGTTAGTTGATGCATTGCACTTTATATACGAGGTAACTTTATTAAGCATCAAGTCTTTGCAATATTCCCTTCCAATGATTAGAGTGAAAGTCCTGATTCAGTGAGAGTCAGTCACGTGGTAATGCGTGTTGTTTGCATACTCTGTCTAAATCAGGGTTTCTTAACCTGTGGTTCATGGACCCCTAAGGGGTCCATGAGTCATATTTTGAGGGTCCGCTGACTACTCCTAATTTTTAAAATGTTTGTGAAGCCTACCCATTGCTTGTAAAGCGCGGTGTCATCTTTGNGCAGCTATAATTCCGTTTGCTACGGTGTATCTTTGCAAAGCGGGATTTTCCACACTCATGACAATAAAAACAAAACATCGAAATCGATTGAATGTTGAACATGATATGCGCGTTGCTTTGTCGAATACCATCCCCCAATCCAATTTATTAATTAAGGAAAAGCAGCAGCAACCTTCACATTAAAAATTTAAATTTTTAAAATTTTGAATACTATTAAAATAATAAAATTAAATGTTTTCTTATAATTGATGTTTTTTGCAATAATTTTTTTCACAGGGGGTGGTCCGTGACTTCCAAAAAATTTTTAAAAGGGGTCCATTATACCAAAAATGTTAAGAAACACTGGTCTAGATAATGGAGGGTAGAGTTTTCTCACGTCACGTGACATCGGAAACGGTAGCTTTTTTCTTTTAATCTAGTAATACTATCTAGCGTAAGAGATTGGTAGAAAATGCATGCCATCGCATGTCATCGAGAAAACTCTTATCTCCATTGTCTAGACATAGAATTGCACAGTTCTCTCATGCAGTTTAGCACCACACATCTCACTGAATCCTCCACCTGATTGACAAAATGACAAATTCATTTTCTGATGACATGCAAGGTTCGTCACAAACTTATTCCCCCCAAAATGAACAAAGGGCATTGTAAGGAGTGTTACAAAGGAACACCTGCTAGTAAATGATGGTCAAGATGACCCACCTAACACGCTCAAAATGTTTCCCCCACAGAGTTAGAGAGGCTATAGGGTTATACTTTTTAAGATTATGTTCTGAATGCAAAGTCATAAACTTCGTCCGATCTAATATTTTAAAATTAGTTGCATTATTTATATTGTAATTAACTAATTGTAATTATTTAAATTATTTCCGTTGTTTATGACTATGATTTAACTATTACATTCACAGCAACAAATTAGTTAACAAAAAATGATTTATCAATCGAAAACAAATTAAAAAGAAAAAAGTGCATTAACATTTAATTAATTTTGTAATTTTACTCCTTTAAATTTGTTANTATATATATATATATAATATATATATATATAAGTAAGAAGTTAAGAATGCATTTACTTTAATAAAGAGTGTTCAGGAAAATACGAGTTACTACTAACCTTCTTCCTCAGTTACTGCGGTAACAGGGTTACTACTTTCACTTTCTCCCAATGCATTGACTGCTGATATTAGTATAAAATAACGAGTGTCGGGCGTCAGACCATTAATTGTCCAAGTTATTTCTGATGGTGGTATTGTCACTCGTTTGGGATTACCTCCTAATAGATTTCCTGCGAAACAAAAAGAGAACACTTGCTAACTATATTGCGACAAAAGCACTAATAATTATGCAATTAATTATGACAGATGATTGTTTCATTACAATAACCAGAGTCGGTAGTTGAAATGTTCGACTCCATTTTCGTACTTTTCTGAGAGCTCGAGTCAACTCTGACATATTCTCCGTTTTAATTTTACTCTCAAACGTTGGAAAATATTAGTATTATTGCTAGTATTTATATAGGATTGGGACTAAAGGTATTTATTTATAATTCCATTTTATATAGAAAAGTAATAGTTGAACAAATAGGTTATTAAACGTATTTGTTCACAATATTAAAATTATGAAAAACCATTTACTCCCTGAGCGAAAAATCCAGCATTCTCCTATTGTTTTTAGCTGCAAGCTTTCGTGTATCAAAAAACCGGTTTCTCCTATGCTATTCACTGGGTGAGCAGTGTATAGCAGGGAAACTTCCGTGCAACTTTACCCTGGGAAACTTGTAGTGCTATAAACATGTTTTGGCGAGAAGATTCTTCAGAGAGTATTTTGGAACTAGAAATGTATTACATGGAATTCATTTGCATATCTTTTCAATTGGCTTAATAACTGATGCAAGCAAATTTGGTTTTGGAATGTATGTGCTTTTTTAATAGTTCTATCAAACATAAGATCTAGACCAGATGTCAGCACTCATCAAATATATAAGCTAAAAATTAGCCAAAAAAGGAGTTCGTATACTGTAGATACACTTAGCTTTAGATAATTTTCTTGAATATAAAAAATGGGCACTGTCATTACAGTTTTTTTCAAAATTATGCAACCCTTTAGAGGTTAAATTCGAAGCAGTCTTTTCTTAAGTGTGTATATTCCTGTCTATAAAATCAACCTCCTTAAAATTAATCCTCCCTTGACATATCATTTTAAAACAGTAAACAGTGAGGAATTATTAATTTCTTGATATAGAAATGATCTTTGATTGCACTGTCAACAACAACTCGAACGGAATGTTGACAAAGATTCCAACTGCTCCGGACGCGCCAAAATAATTTTAAAAAACGCGGTAAATAACTACAAACTAAATTTTGAAAATGTTTGATTATTTTTGCTTGCTTTTTAAAAGGTATAACATGACATAACTACTATGAAGTGGTGAATTATATAACCCTACGAATTATTTAGAAATAGTGGTGGATAAAAAATCGGCTGAATTGAATTTATTAAACCAAGAATCACAATTGATAAACTACCACTTTGAAATATATATTTGCTGTCCGGAGCAAGTTGGTATCTCTGTGTTGAAGACGCCTGAGACACGTCAATTATTGTTTTGACATAAGGAACAAATGACGTCTCCGAGACGACTTCGTATGCCAAGGGGTTAATATCAAGTGTTTTCAAAACTGACGTGATTTTAATATGCAGGCTGTACTTGAAAAGAGAAGCAAATACAGGCTTACCTGACTTGAGGGATCCTTCCTTTTCTTCTGTTGCTTCTTCGTAGGTTAATATGTATTTGAGTAATCGACTGTTTCCGCTGTAAGGGGGAGACCACGAAATATCCACAGACCTGCTTGCAGTTCTTGTTATTTTCAGCTCTTGAGGAATATCCGGTTTTTCTATTTTGGACAGACAAAAATATAACAATAAGTTTATGGAAATATAAATATAATATGTATGTGTATATATACTGTTATGTATTTCATGCGCCCCACGTTTTTCGTTTTTCAATTTTTTTTAATTATTATTCTCCACTACGAAAACGTAGTTTTTAAAAATATTATTTTTTACTTTGAATTTTTTTATTTTAAATTATAATTTTTTTAATTTTTATTTTATATTTTTTAAAAGTTATTACTTTTCAATTATTATTCTTCACTACAAAAAACGTGGTTTTTAAAAATAAATATTTTTATTTAGATTATTTTTCTTAGTCAAGAGTAGTCAAGACTACTACAAGACCACTACTAAAATAATAGAACTTTCATTTTAAATTAGGGATACAAAAATCTTTAT